GCATGACTGGTAAACATATTACTTGTATGAGTGTACATATTGAGAAAAGTGACGTGGTACACTGAACTGAGAGATTTGCTTGTAAATAAGCAAAAGTTAATTGAACGTTAAAAAAATAAACAATAATTAATTTGTCGAAGTTGACCCTAAGTATCTAACTCATACAACGTTAGATCATCTTTTTTTTGTTTGCATCCAAGTATATCTTAGCGGCGCTTATAATATTCCGTTGTATTAATATAAGAATAAAAAATTATCAAATAAATTGATTGTTTAACTAAATCGCGGATCACACGATTGGTACATTTATCAATATTTTTTGCAATATTTTATTTAGTTTATTTCATTTATGTACATGAAATGTAGTAATAACTGCTTATATTACACAACTAAATCAACTAGCAGCTGAGATTATCGATTTGTGTACAATATATTAAAATTAAGCAAGCAGCCGCAGTTTTGATAAAATTAAAAGTTACAACTTAGTTTGAAATTCATTTGGAAAAGTATAAAAATGTTTGACATGATTAGGAGAAGACCAATACTTGACCATTCTGAAGTTAAGGGTACGAATTTACGCCAAATTTTTAGCGAATGACAATCCGGTCTTAAGGCATGGCTAAAAAAAATCACCTACCTGCCCTCTATTCACTGAAAATTGACAATAATAATAAGCAATGTTTCCATTTCAAAATGTGTAAATTTACAACAAATACACCCAAAAAAAACTTCTCTTACTTGAAGAAAAACAGCAATCAAAATGACGAAAAATGGGAACGAAACAGCACCAAAGAAGTTTTATCCTCTTTTCATGCCCAACATTTCTTCAAAATGATAGATTACATCCACGGTCCCATATTTTCGTGTACGTTTTTACACATTCTAAAGAAAAATTACGCATTCGGGAGAATTTTTTACTCATTGGGAAGAATTTTCGACCTTAAAGTAAGGAAAGTTTTTCTTTGTTCCAGAGATAGATTTTTGGTTCAGTGTACGCAAACAAAATTGGAAAGAACTGTGTTTCATTTTCTCTATATTTTTTATAATATTTTACACATGAATTTGGCGGTAGGATCGAATATTTTTCATACGCATTTTTTTTTTTTAAAGCTGTTAAACTAATTTTCTTCGACAGTTTCATCAGTTTTTTATTGTGAAAAAGAGCAAGATAAATATGTCACTGCATTAGTTCTAAAGATACCATTGAAATCTGTTTTCAATAATAAATTGAAGTCCTCTACATTAAACGTAAGTTCGAATTAACGCTGATGCTTTTTACACAATCGTAAACTAAGGACAAATCATAGTCCTTCCATTTTCCCTTTGCCTAATCCGCCTCTTTAAGGCAGGAAGGGCAAATGTGGTGCCGCCATGTGTATGCCGACCACAGTCAGATGTTTGAGCCACGAGAAGTGACGAGTAAGCAATACCTTAAGTTGAATGTAATTCCATCTGCTCATTGAAAGAAAATACCTAGGTAGGCCTTCTGAGAGTGAGAGCAACATGCGGTTTGCCCACCTGCAGCCCCTCGTAGCCTCCCAGTAATTGCAGAGCAAAATATGCCCCCAGTTTCTGACGGCAGCCACGTTAGCAGAAGTTGCGAGTCGATAGCCAAATGGTCGGATGTTTCGTTGCCAGGTAATTCCGAGTGGCCTGGTTCCCACAGTATCTAAGACCAGTTCGTTATAATTTCCAACATAATAAGTCGAGACTTCCATTGCCGAACTAGTTTGAAGGTAGTTAGAGGGCAGGTGAATTCCTTGGGTTCAGTTTGGCTGTCAAGTAAACTCTTGCCTCTCCAACTATATTCCATCACTTAGTCCATGGCCTTGAAGTTTGCAAATACCTGCGCTTGAAATTCCAAGGCGTGATCTCCAAAAGAGAAGTGAAGGTCATCGCCGTAATATTTAATATCGATTCCAGATCCTGACCACGTGTCCGTTTTGTAGCCAAGCACTAGGAACTCAACTTTGTAGCTTGAATGCCCTCAGCAATAGTACCGTTGGCTTACTATTCTGTGGCATTGTAAAGACATAAATAAAGACCTCTGATATGTATATACTGAGCACGCGAAATATGTACGTTAATTCAACTGAGAATTTGTGTGTATTCAAGCTGAAAGCAACATCATTTCAGCAGTATTATGATAGAAACACTTGAATCTTCTAACTTAAATTAACTCAGTAGTTATCCGGTCTTGCATCATTTAGTCTAAGATATTGCAGGTTGCTTAAACTTTCATAGGTATGATCGCGTCAGTAATTTCTAGAAGCTGTAGGCTAAGAAATATTATTATTATTATTATTATTATTATTATTATTATTATTACCTTTGAAGATGTTCAACATTTCCAAGTCAATAGGTGTAAATAGGTACAGTTGCTAATTTTTGCCTCAACGAATGCGTGAAACATACAGCATTTAAAAATATGGGTGTGCTATGTGAGTGATTGTTCTTCATTTAACTGTCACCGTTATCATATTACGCTTACACCTCAAACTAAATAAAAACAGGTAAACAAAATTTAATAAACTGCAAATTATTTTTTGTTTTTGTTTTGTTTTTATTTATTCCATAGAACCTTCTATCGCACAACGACAACTTTAACGCATTTTCGCCAATTTGACTTTTTTCTGCTGCCAGCATACTAACTTGAACCGAGGCAGTTGAACTTGAACTGTTAACAAAAAAAAAAAAAACAAAATAAAAGACAATGTCAACATAATTAAGAAAACACTCCCCAATCGTTGAGTAAATGAAATTGTTCGCGTTTTAAATTTATTTGTATCTAGTATGTGGATAGTAATAATAATAATAATAATAAATGTGTACTTGCGCCCTGAACAGTTTGAGTTTAGGAAAGTTTTGACCAAAATATTTTCTTGCTTATTTACATTGTGCATGTGCAGGTGTATATGTATAAACGACAATAGACTTTTCTAGAAATATAAAAACGAAATGAGTAAGTACATATATATTGTCATGGCCGTGATGCATTTTGTAAAGCCCAAACCGTATCAGTAAATTTATACCGATGAGCAACCGAAACGAACTATACCTGACTTACAGTATTGGCCATATCTATAGCACCCCCATTTCAAAGTGTTATGGTTTCCCACTCATGTTTATTTATTTAGTTTTAGGAGTTTTCAATTAAAATACAGTTCATTTTCTACCGAAACCCATATAAACCCTAGTTTAAACTTTGTAAAATACTATAAAAAAATTCAACAAATTTTCACCTAAGTTTCAAAATTTTTTTTTCAGAAGTTTTTTTGAGTACGCAGTTTTATAGCCCATTTAATTTTAGTCTAGCAATATGCAAGTTTTAAGTGGCTAAAAGTCACCGTTTATTTTTTCCATATAAAAATAAATTGTTTTTATTCGTTATATGGAAGCAAACGCCACAAACAAAAAAATTCTAAAAAATCAACGGTAATTTTTACCCACTTGAAACTTGCACACTGTTCTTAGGGCCGTTTTCTGAATTAACCTTTAACTTTAGCGCTCACTTTAAATTTAAAGCTTGGATTAAAAATAAAGCTTTGTCCGAAGTTAAGCATTTCTATTATCGGGTTTTGACGTAAGTATGTTACATACATTTTACATGCAACTTTTAAATATAAAGTGAGCTTTAAAGTTACAGGTTACTTGAGAGAATGGCCCTAAGGCATAAAAACTTCAATTCATCTTAGCCAGTTAATACCGATGAAGCGCGAGTCGTTATGCACGCTCCCCTTAGTGGCCGATAAAATCGCTTCACACCTTTAATTGCAGCCGTCTGTGTTGGTCACTTTGTTTTTTTTTTGTTTTTTCTTGCTGCATTCCCCCACATTTCACAATTAATTACAATATAACTATTTAAAATTAATTGCAAATGTCAAATGAATTTGAATAAGATATTAAAAACTCTAACCATTTGTGCGACATTCTGGCTTAGATCGTGACTATCAAATAGTTTATTGACCACTTGCGCTACATTTCAGTTAAGGGATCTATCTGTATTTGTTATTAAGTTTGTATTTAGAAGATGTAAGTATTTATACTCGTATGCAAATGTGAATAACAAATGGAATTAATTAAATTGTATTTTCAATAAAGCAAAGTAATTATTGCGCTTATATTTAGATTTGCGGGAAAAAATGTATGAGCACGTGATTTGAAAAAAAAACAATCAATAAAAAAATGACCAAACTAGCTCTCTCTTAGTCCATCAGCCACAATCAGAGCTTTAACTGGCTGGAACTGTTCTTTGTAGAGCGCGGGAACTTGTTATATACATATTTATATATGAAATCAATCCTATACTTATGGAAAAAATGGGCGTGGCACCTGCTATTCAAACTGAATTTTTGATACTGCATATATGTATGTACCAAGAAGCACAGCCGTAAAAACCATCTGTCGGTCAAAGGCAGCCTATAATTTTTTGTGTATTTCAACATTAAGATGAACCTTTTTGTGAACAATATTTTTGTGGAAAGTTTAAATCCTAAAGTCCTGTCTGCAGTTCGCAAGAAAAATCAGACAAAAATATGTTTCATTAATTCTGTTGCTTGAAAAAGCATTTTGTTGTTGCTGTAAATTTTCTTGAAGGCATAAATATCCTAGCATTTTTTCTTGGGAGCTGCATACTGATTTAAGAAATTTTTGACAGGAGAAAATTTCTTTTGCATTGCTTGTGCGTAATTTTATGTACATACTTACATATATGAATTTTTGGTTTTTCTTGAGAGCTGCAGACAGGCCTTAAAGCAAAAAAGGTTTTGGAACTACCGTTACTGTTGAGAGTGTTGAGAGTTGAGTGAGATTGGTCTTATCCAGCCCTGAGAAAATGACTGTCAATGTGCTGCATAGTTTACAAAGATTTCCGAGTTTTATTATTTAAATGATAAATTGTCCTTCTTTTTATTGAATATTTTTCTATCGCCGAGAATCAAAATATTAATATTTATTGGAATATGTAGTAAAATTCTAATAATAAATTTTCTCAATTTGAAAATTTTTTAGTGCTAAATCATGGGGTTACAAAAACACTACCTCAGATATGGCCGCAGCGCGAGAGATCACATATTGGGACTGGCGGGCGGAGGGCGTCGCAACACCATCGTGAAAACTGCCGGCGACAACGGTCACAACAGCCACAGTGGCCATGGAACACATCGTCGGTCGGATGGCGGGGGTGGAGGCGGAGGTGAACACGGTGGTATGCCAAATTTAACCAACCGCCCCACCCCGCTGTCCATGCTGATATCACAAGGAGCTAAAATCAATAACCGTAAGTACAGAAAACCAAAAACCCCAAAAAAAAAACAAATATAAAATATGTAAATACCAAAGTTAAAGCTAAATAATGAAACGAAATGCCATTGCAACAAAAGCAACTAAAAAAAAGAAGCCACTTTGAAAATGCAGTAAATATTTTTTATTTTGGAAGGTAAAATGTTCAAGGAAACCGACTAAATTTTCCGGTTTGACTAAGATTTTCATCTGGCAGTATTTCACAGCAGCACACAAATAATAGCTGCGCTGTAGAATTATTTGGCTGTGGCGACAGCGGCGGCGATCCACATGGAAATTGGTGTTAAAGTCAATATCACTTTGATTAAACAACAACCACCATCAACCAACAGCAATGCCAACAAAAAGAACAACCCAGTAGCAGCTAATGCTGATTGGGGCATGCAACCGTATCGCAGTCGCAGTGGCAGCGCCAGTGGCAAACTACCCGGTGGTCGGTCGGTGGTGTGGTGTGGTGTGGTGGTGGTGGCAATGATGTGTGCCGCGGGGAGCACGATCTTTGCGCAATGCGACGACGACTAGCATTCTAAAACAGCAGCAACGATCGGCACACTTCCAAAGCAAACGCATGCGCAAACATTGCCGGCCAGCCAGCCAGCCAGCCACCGCACCACCGCGCCGCCGCTGTCGTAATCAGCGGCGTATGCTTGTAAGCACATACATATGTATGTCGATGTAATGCACATAAATGCCTAAGTGGTAGCCAAAAATTGGCAAAGATCGAGTCTTAGCAATTTGCAGGTTGTTGAATTTATTTTCATTTTCATCATATTTTATTTACTTATTTTTGGTTGCAGCTGTAGCTACTAGCTGCGACCAACCAAGCACGTTGGCAACTTTAGCAGTTGCAACAGTTGTTGCCTCAGCCGCCCGGCACAAGTTCATTTCAACATTTTATATGTGGTCGGTCACTTGGCCGAAGCGCTGCTGTAAACTTCATTGCAATCTTATATAATTGATGTTTATGTATACATTTAGACAAACAAAAAAAAATAAAAATCCGCACAGACGAATTAAAGTAGAAAATTTAAAATAAGACTGAAATTGCAACTAACCACAAGTCGACATAGCAGCGTTTGCTTTAGCACATACACAAAAAAAAAAAATCTCGACTACCCTGCAGTAAAATTTAGAGACAGTCTGGCAAAGCGCTAGTTCCGAACTACATATTTCATAACTACATACATATCTCTGAACTATCGCAAGACGGCTGCAGAGCGAGACAGCCGCAACTTGCGGTGTAAGTGTACAAATTCTCACTTCTCGCGCAATACGAAAGTAGCTCAGCGAGAAGACCTCCAACTCCAGCAATGTTGATCGCGAGTTCAAATCGCGGTGGAGGCAGTTGTTGGAGTTTTCAGTTTTATTGAATTTAAATTTTTGGCTAGTTCTGAGCTAGTCAGATTTTCTGCAGGGTACTTGCTTATGTACATATGTATGTGTGTAAACCTGTGCATGCTAAAACTTGTATTAGAAGTTTACGGCTTAGCCGCTACAATCTACGCCGCTAATGATGCTGCATTCGGTGCTACCAAAAACTTGTTGCCAAAAATTGCATAAAAATGCTATTTTATGTGTTACTAATGGCGTTTTCTTATCTAAAAAAAAATGTTACCTTCTCATCGCACTCTGCTTAGCGTTTGTGCGCAGAGGGCAAAGAGAAGGTTGCACTATTCGGTAGAAACGAAATCGGCATAACACATAGTAGATGTGTGTGTATTATTTGGCTTAATAATTGCAAGTCTTTATAGAGAACAGAAATCCAATGTCTCGCATAAAATTTAGGATTTTTAGAGACAAAATATTTAAAGCTTCGGCTAATATCGGAAATCTGAAGGTCGACTCATTCAAAAAGATTTGTACAACTATACACTTGTACAACCGTTGAGAGACATTTTCAGTATAAAATAAATTTCAACCTTTACCCCATAGCTAATATTTATAAAATGTTCTTAACCCTAGAAAGATATTCTATTTCTTCTGTTTTACACTTAAATTTAATATTTATGTAATTTCTACTCATTTTACAGGCTTGGATTAGTTTTAAAAACAAAATTCATTTTTTTTTTATAAATGTTTGTGTCTTAAAGACTTTTAATTTTTTCTTACCGGTGGTCGGAGACTGATAAATCAACCTGTGATTTGAATAAGTTTTTTTAGAAAGTCTGCTTGACTGTTTGCCTTCTATGAAGTAACCAATTTTAAGGAGTTTTTTTTAACCCCTAGCATTCTGGCTATCTAAAAAACTATGGATATTAAACTAGCTGTACCCTATTGGTTCTTCGCAAGACCACTTATCCCCGCTCAAGTATTCGTATCGACTTTTCTAATTGGTAGTTTTTTTAAACAATGTTGTTGTGATTTGGTTCTCTATTCTCTCGGCTTTCATAGGCGTAGTTATTGTTGGATTGATTGAAAAAAGAGAAGTTTCTTAATATTATTAACCTACGGTCTCCGCTGGACGTTTAGCCCGATGACACCTAGTTTGCCTTGTATTTGAGTCTTGAAAGTTTTATTTTTATAAAATTGTCTAAATTAATTGACTGTGCAAATTATGTAAACCTGATGATTTTTTGCTTTTTATACCTTTTAACACCGCCAGGGCAGTCGCAGAGAATATAAGCCTTGACTCAGAGGGTATCGAAATCATTTCCATCTAGAAAACAATAGAATTCTACGTTTTCAAGTTCCGTAATAGACAAATTCCAAATAGGATAAGTGCTCTACCTCCCCACACTGCTTTTAACAGTGGGTAAAATTTTCCACTTTTTGTTCAAAAAGTCAATTTCAGTGCATTGGATTTTGTATTTAGATATATTAAACTTATTCACACTCTAATTATTGTTTTAAGAGACCATTAGTATAACACATTTTTATAGAATATTTTAGCCCATTAACTCCTACCAGATCGAGTCTTTTTGACTCAATTTTGATAAGAGAGCATTTATAGGGTTACAACTTTACAAAAAATTAACAAAAAAGAGTCATTGCACATAAATACCGTTAGGAATTAGGAGGAAAGAATAAATGCCGCACCCTAAAACAAATCAATCACAACTACTAAAAATCTTTCAAAACTTATTTTTTTTCCTTTTAAAACAGTTCACAGACCATAATTCAAAAGTCTTCTTTAACTTGAAAAAATACTAATAAGACTATTTTTTGCCTCTACTGAACATTTGGGACTTTTTGAGTTGTGACTGTTTCTCATTTCGAGTGCATTATGTGACATAATTGAATTTCTTACCAAGAAATAGGACCTTAAGAAATTTCTCTCACAAATTATATACCAGCACATACATACATACATATGTATATCTCACCACAAGCAGTATTTAGATGGACTTTGAAGTTGCAATGCGCTACCCGCAATATTAACAATCTAGCTTCGAGTAAGAACCACTGCACTTATTACTAACTAGCTAAAATAAACCCAAACAGGTATCAAGGTAAATTAACAATTTACTTCATAGAAGGCAATGTGTATGTTGACTGACAAAATACAGTAGCATTAGCTTAACACTCTGTCAACTAACTATGCAACTGCAGTGGCCGTGCGTCTTTAAGATACGATTAAGTGGCTCAAACAAGCTCAAATAATTGCCTTGGGCATTGAAGGTGCCGAGGTCTTCAAAAATACACACACACAAATAGCAGGCTAAGAAGTATTGACGCAGTTTTAGATAAGAATGTCAACAAAGCGTACCATACGGACAATGTACATACATACATACCTATGCACATGTTTATGCGACGCAAAACGTTTAGAAGAGTAAGAAGCGTTCTACATGAATTAGTGAGTTGGTACCCTACAAGACATTGCTGAGCACTTTAGGCAAAAATTCTCACACATTTACACTTTTGTTTTTGTAGTACGGCATAAATGAGTAGTTTGACTATTAGTACTGAGGACTTTCTGATGACAACATTGAGGGGAAAGTACTCAATTTTTTCCCATGGCCTGAACGAAAATGAGGACTTTGATAAGCACTTTTGTGATTAGGGATAATGATAATATGAGTACTCATATGATACTCAGCTGTCTTGTAGGGTATGTTTTAATGTACACACATATGCACGTACGTATGTCTAAATATGTACATACATACATGCTTAGAATGAATGCAAAGTCTACTGCCACCATTGGAAGGACACTTCAATTACTATCAACCAGTCTAGTAGGCGTAGTATTTGTATAATTTGTATGCACACAAACATGCACATACATTTTATTAGAAGTTTATGCAGTTGACCATCGCATTGGCTAAATAAAATTGCCGATGTTTTACCTACCACCAGCTGTCAGCTTGATGGAGTTGCACTTGACAACACCTCGCTGCAGCAATGGCCTACCCACGATTACCTTAATTACAGCTTATTAAATGTTGTATTTGTATCGAACTCACAAATACACAAAAAAATGTCTGAGTGCGCACACAAACGCCACTCACTAGTGTACTACAATAAAAAGGTATTCGTCTTGTTTATATATAAAAACCAGTTAATAGTGAAATTGTTAATATTTTCATTGTTGAATTTGTTGAATCAAATGGAATTTATAATATGTCTGCGTTTCTTGTTAAATTTATTCTACACATGCTTCTGCATTGTTGTACAATGCACTAAGTACTATTTAGTTTTTAGTACCTACTAATTGGCTTTAAATAACTTGTAACTATTCAAATAATAAATACTTAATTAGTTGGTAGGTGAAATAGGCAAGTAAATGCTTCCGCGTCAACCAGTTAATTGGCAATTTTTTTTTTAATAAATAAAAAGTAACAAGAAAGGGTACTTTTTATTTACATCTAATGCTTATACATATGTATAAATTTCTATTACACCTTTGAGAGCAAGGCAATTTGTAGATTACTTATGCAAAACGGTCTTAACTAAATGGGCACAACTTTAAATATTCCACTGCAATGGATAATCAAATTTTTAATAGCATTTGAATAGTGGCAAATAATCCAGTTG